TGCTGCCGGGCCGTTGCCTGCAGACTCAAACCAGCTCTTTGCATTATTAAATTTCAGTTTATTACACCTCACGACACATCTACGAGGTGGGGAAATAAGTACTTAAAATCTTCATTTCGCAACCCGGAGAGAAAGCGGGATGCAGAGAGTTCAAATTAATCCCCTCGTCCCACCTGCAGATAAAGTGTGGTGTCACCCAAAGAACAACAATAAAAATGATGGCTTCTTGTCTCCTGGTCTTGGAGCGAACCTCTCCCATACAACCAACCCCAACAGCCTGCAAATGCACCCGTTGAATGTTAGCAAGGGGCTGCACTGAAAACTAAGAGCCTGCTGGTTGGAAGCAAGTCCATTGAGAGGCTCTTTTAGCTCAAGAGATGGAGCCATGTGGCCCAGCCGGTGCTAAAATTTGGACACTGTGTGGCAGGACCAGTCGGGTTGTTTTGTCGGGGGTGGGGAGAGACCTGTTTGGTGACACCTTGCTACATATCAACTTTTTCTCAAGAGCAGCCACTGAAGTAGCAACCTGATTAACAGCACAACTCTAGGAGTTGTGAACAAGGAGATAAAATTGCAACTACAAGGATGAGACACCAAGGACAAGCTGATGGAAGGGTGAACTGCTCCAGACCAAGGAGAAACCATCACCAAAAGGTGCACGTCTCTACCTGTAAGAGCATGATTAACAGTTGCAAGATCATTATGTACACATGGGCAGGTTGGTGTTTTCTGGGCAGAGGACAGAGGCACACAGAGTCACCAGGGGCCTTAAACTGGTTTATTGCCCCTTGTGATTTGATGCTGGACTGGTTTCTCTGATTTTCTTGATGGCTTTTTGATGGCCATACATGTCTTCTGCCTCAGTCCTTGACTGGGGTTGGGGTTAGGCTCTGCTCTTCACCCTTCCTGTTACAAATGGGGCTTCTCTATAGGTACAGCCTCACTGCATCCGTCGCATCCAGACAATATCCCTCCAATGGGACACACAGTGTGGCTGTCAACTTTTACATAGAATAGCGATGTCACCAGGTGGGAAAACACAGACAAAATACAAGAAGAAACTATCCCCTTATTCCTCTCCCAGGCCAGGAAGATCAGACAGGACCTGGGAGCTATGTAAACATCTCCCCACTGAAGCCCATCACCACATAAGACCTGGGTATGACTCTACTCCTCCCAAGAAGCCATGCTTAATGAGTGGCCAAAAGGAGACAACTCTTCTGGGTATGGTCAAGGGACTGGGACCTCAGAGTGCAGGGGCTCACGTGGAGCTCCAGAGAGCCCTGGGTCAATGTCTATCCTACCAAATTTAGAGGTTCAGGCTGTTCTCCAGTTACTTGGACTGTGTGTCTGTGTCCTAGATGACTTAGCCTGGGCCAGCCAGCCCTCTCCCAGGTGCAAGGGATGGTCTCAGTGTGGATTGGGCCACCTTGCTGGGGGGTATGGCCTTAGGGGTTGAGCTGTGCCTTGCCCCTTGGCTTCATGGCTGGAGAAGAGGCCCGGGCCCTGTTTAGGGTGCTATAGGACTCTAGGTTCTGCCTTTGGCCCCACCCTTCACATGGAAGAGTCCCCAGCAGCACAGGATCTGAAGGTAAATCAGGGGGGGAAAATTGTCTCTAGTCCCACCCTGTGCTCCAAGCAGGGCTCAGGGCTTGATCTAGTCTGATGTTGAAAAGCTCCATGGATGGAGATGACACAACCTCTTGAACACCCTGTGAAGCCATGGCTCTGCTGCCCCATGATCACCCCAAAGGACCCCTAGAGCAAGGTGCCCCCCAGCATGGCCAGATCCCCACCATCCTTCTGGTAGGGCTTCGCCTGCCCAGCTCAGTACTGGGCACATGGCCTGGGGATCCCTGAAAGCCAAAGCGCTGGAGCATCATGCTGTGGGGCAGGATGACCCCCCTTGAGGGTGAAGCATCCTAGGTAAGTCCCAAGAGTGGTGGGAGCTCCCCTCCTACCAGTGCATGGCCTTTAAAGAGCAAAACGTCTCTCCACAACCCACAAACCTTCTCTGTAGATCTGACTCAAGACTCACACCAAAGAAGGACATGGTGAGGACCAAGAGTCGAATCTTGCTGGAAAACACTCTTGCCTTCAGTCCTCTCAACCTCATGTTGGACTAGACAACCTTTAAAGGTCCCTTCCATTCCAAACTATTCTATGATTCTATGTTCCCTCATATATAACCCTTGTCAGCAGCTGGTGGCCCTGGGTCCAAACCCATCCCAATTAGCCCCCAATCAATTCAAGCCTTAGCTACCTTTTGGTTCTGGCTCTGGATTTGGCCCTATCTGCCAGACACTCAGCTTTGTTCTGGCACAATCTGGACTCACAAGTATTTTCTTTCTCCAACTTGAGACTAAGCCTAAACCTGGCATCCATTTGGAGCTGGAAATGTATTTCCCACTGAACGCTCTAATGTCAGTTCAGAGCAAATCAGCTCCAAGGCAGCTCACACATCTCACCAGACAAAGGAACCATGAAGTTCCATGAACCAGCAGTCACACACTCACAGGGATACACACTTTTGGAGACTTCTTCTCTTTGGAGACTTCTTCCTTCAAAACCACCAGCTCAGGAAGAACTTTGAGCCATGGCCCTGGTCCTTCATGAAACTAAGTATTGAGGTCATGATGCTTGTCCCACAGACAACCCTTCTCCATGAGCACACACACACACATGCAAGCACATCCCTTTTCTTAAATGGGATCATAGAGCTGATGAGCAAGCTCTGACAAGAAGACTCAAGCCACTTTAATTGCAATTGAAATGAATCATTTGCAATGTTCTCAGCTTCCTAAAATACCTATTTCTAACAAAAGAGTCAGTCATACTTGAGCATCCAAGTATAGAGTGGATGTGATAGACTCAATGCCTTCAGGACAAAGTTCTTGGCAGTCCGTGTAATTAAAACAGCTGCTTTTCAATATGGTTTAAGACTAAATACTGCACAAACATTAATCATCAGGGACTGCTGTAATCAGCTCGGCAACCATCAGGAATGACTATTTCCACTGCAGCCATTGATTACCTAATGGCTTTCAGGAGGGGTTGATATAGTCATGTCTATATGGCAATGCATGGAGTCTATTAGTTTGGGGAGGGAGGGGGAGCATTTGCTGGGTGCTCGGCAGAAAAAAAATTATGGAGGAATATATCTGTTTCTGGGAAAACATAGATCTCACTGCAAAGCAAGGAGGGGACCAACAACCAGCAGTTGCAAAATAACTAATTTGGGGCTGTTTTGGTCCCTGGTCTGCCAAACGCAAAAGGCCAGTGACTGGGGATGCTCATGAAAACAAACCATCAAAACAGGAGGTCAAGCCTGGGAAAAGAACTAGCATCCCATGCCTGAGCCTGCTCCATGAATAAATACAGACATCTGAGGGATGTGGAGGAAAAGGAAGAGTTTCTCCAGTACCACAAAGGGCTTTTCCAATCTTCGTTAATGCTTTGGATTAAATGTGGAAGCGGGCACTGGATGGACCTAGTCCCAGAGCAGCACAGGGAAATGCATCCCAACCCACTGTGTTGTCTCTCAAGCCACTGAGAGCCATCAGAAATGACTACTGGTGCTGCCTCCCCTTCTCCTGCCCACTTTCAGGGTACTTTTGGGAATTCTTGAGCTCCCCATCTCTCAGGTGGAGAAAAAGGCTCAATCCAAGCATGGTTTGCATTTGATTTCTCCAGGTTTTCGGTCCAGTTCAAGATTTTTTTGGCCTGGAGCTTGTCTCAGTTTGATCTCTAGAATAGTTGCACTGTTTTACTGAGGGAGGCCCAAAGCAGCATAAAGGGCTATTCCCAAAACTGCTGTCGCAATCCACCCCAGAGTCCGCTGTGTTTTAGTGTGATAAGGAGGAGAACAGCACAATTTTGGCAGGGAAACACACCCAGCGTGCACCATAAACCTTCTCCTCCAACCTCATCTTCTTTCGCGTCCGCCTGGGAGTTTAGAGGATCAAAATTGGAAAAAAATCAGCTTCCCTCTCGAGTCACATTTGCTTTTTGGTGGGGATGGGGATCTCGCTCCCACCCAGTCGGGTGAACACACACTTCAGTGGGCTCTGGATCAGGCCCAATGTTTAGTGTCTCCTGAGATGCAGTGATGAAAGGGGCTATAGAAATGCGAAGCGCTATCATTTCATTACCTCACCACGCAAGTGTGCAAGCTCCCAACAAGAGGCAAAGGTTGTTGCAGGCTGTAACACTCTCCCTGACCTTCAGAGAGCATCTGGCTGTGCTAAGTCTTCCCCTTTGGGTACCTTTTTTCTTTATTTTCTCCTAGATGTTCATTATTTTACCGTGAGCATTAGCGTATTTGCTTCATTATTCCTGTAAAAGTCTATCACTTCAATGCCTTAAAAGGTTTGTCAGAGCTTATCCATTAACACCCTTTCCTTTCACAGAAAGCAAGAAGAAAATATAAACTGGTGTTGGAAGTTCAAGACTTATTTTACCAGCACACAGCCCTTAAGGGACTGGTATCCTGTCCCTGTGTGGGTGACGTCTGGCCCTTTCCAAACTCAGGCCAAGCTTAAAATAATGTTTTAATGCTCAAGCATCAATAATCTGGGATTATTCACATATAGAATCACTCTATGATTCTATGAATTAATACAGCTTGGTGGTGGTGGAACGTAGAGTCCATGGCGCTGGGAGGGGTTCAGCTTGTGGAAAGCTCCAGCTTTCCATCAATATTATTACCTAATCTTTCTAACGTCTCCTTCGTTTGGCTCTGGGTTTGTGGTTGGCCTGTTTATCCCTGTCAGCGCTCGCTGTCTGGCAATCAGGCTGCTCCATGGCAATCATTAGTCCTTCCTGTTTTCATGAGATCATGAGTTATTATCTCTGCAACAAGCTGCCTCTTCCTTCTCGCCTCTCTGGGCCTGGCAGCTGCCTGGGGAGCCATCCCAAAGCCTGGATGTGTCAAGGAATCTGGCAAGGGGCAACAGCGGATTTATATCCATAATTAGAACCCAGGGTCGTTAATAGATGTGTCAAGGAATCTGGCAAGGGGCAAGAGCGGATTTATAGCCATAATTAGAACCCAGGGTCGTTAACGTCAACAAGCCCCATTTCTGTGTTGAAGAAACATGGCTGAAGATGGGGAGAAAATATCTAGTCCAGCCCTTCGCACCCACCACAAACCAACCACAATGCTACATTAAAGCTAATATTGAAACGTCTTGCCCTGACTTTCCTGACCAGCCTCTTCCCAAGCTTAAGACCTCGCCATCAACCAACATTTCAATTACTCTTCTCCTTTCCTCCAAGGTACACCCCACCGGACCTCCTCACCCAAACCCAACCTCTGCAGTACAGCATCCACCTTCTCCCCGTCCTTGCAACAGCCTCCAATTCCCTCCTTGTCACTCATCCTTGTGCCAGTCCAGACACACAGGGTTTCCAGATCCCCCCTGTGCTCCTCATACTCAACCACAGAGCTTCTCACGACAGCCACAGATGCAGGGCTCTCACACTATGGGCTTCTTTCGGTGGCACAAAAGGCAGATTTTGGTTCTTAGGGCCAGATTCACAGGCAATTGGTTTTAGATAGGCAATGGGTCAGGGCTTAAATTCTGCTATCCAACACATCTCTCCAGCCCATTGACTTTGAGAGATGCTGGAGAGCATCAACAGCAGAAGACACCCCAACAAACTTGGCTGTTTCACGCATGCATGCATATGTGTGAGCATGTGCTGGCATATATGTGTGTGTGCATGTATGATGGGCAAGCTTTGGGCTTCTAAGTAAGCTCAAGAGGACAACCTGGATGCTCTTCAAGCTCCTAAAGGTTAACAACCACAACCAAAACCATGGGGGCTGCCCTGCCAGGAGGAGAATAGCCCTCAGAGGTTTTGAATATATTATTTACAAGAGATGGGACAACAAAAGTGATTTCAAAAGGAATGGTCCTTGCTCAGTTTTGGGGTTGGGAGGAGGCAGAGAAGAGGGCAACCATAAGGAGTGAGGAATCTGAGCTGGGGAATGATGCCCTTTGAGAGATGCTGCAAACCTGGGGGTATGGTATGGAAGAAGATGGGGGGAGGTGATGCAGTGTTAGCACATACATACAAGGTGGCTTTAATAGCTGTAAGCAAAAGATGTGTAGGGTGAAACCTGGTATTGCTACGTCGAAGTTCCTGGATAGTGCATCCAGCAGCTAAAGCACAAACCTAGCCACCGAACGTAGTTGGTCTTTATCACTGGCAAACAGTATCCGCCCAGTCTTCCCCTGAAATTAAGTTTCTTTTTCATCTTAAAAGAAAAAAAAAACAACAATGAAGACCCCCTCCCTCCATAGACAAGTCTTCGAATCCCCAGCCCAAGTGGAGCTGGCAGCCTGGTGGGACCCCAGCTTGGGAAAACCGCCGGGACATTTGCCTGTTTCGCTGCCTGCCCCAGGTGTTACTGCTTCGTGCTCTTGGTGGGCTCCGAGGACTGCCGCACATCAGTCCACTCCTGCATGGTGCTCTGCAGCGCCTGCGTCTTCTCCTTGTCCACTTGCACGTAATCAACCTTCTCGTCCGAGGCCACCGACGAGGTGGAGGGCTGGGGAGAGGAGAAACACGGCCACCGCCCAGTCACTCATCCGCTCCCTGCTCTTCCCTCTCTTCCCACAGAGTCCATCGAACCTCCCCCCCCACTTTCTTGCAGACTCCAGAGCTCATCACCCTCCCTCTAACCTCCCAAAGGGTTTTGGATGAAAGATTTCGGTCTGCTCTGCATCTTGCTTGCATGGGACTGCAGTGAAATGGGAGGGTAGAAACAGCACCTGGTCTCTACCTTCTCCCCAACTCTGGGACATGAATGTTTGGTTGCAGTTGTGGTATCTAACTGCTGATACGGCAAATTCAGTGTTGTATCTTGCTCATTTTCTTGTAAAGAACCCAAGAACTCTTCTAGATACACGTAGAAATCCCAGCTCCATCCCTTTTAGCTGTACTGACTCTACACACCTGTGACACTAGATTATTTTCATCCCCAAAACAACAGTTGTGTTTGCAGGTTCACCCAGGAGACCTGCTGAGGAAGGAGGAGAAACTTTTTTACCCTGTAGTTTCTTGAGTCCTGGAACTTTGTCTGCCTCTACAAACATTTCAGAGGACTCCCCAGCTGCTTGCAACTGGAGCCAGGTGATGGGGTTTTTTGTGGTCTAAAATCACCTTGGGATATAATTTAAGTTGCTAATACCTGCAGAAATATTGCTGGGCAGAAAGAAAAAATAAGGGGACAACTGCCCAAAAATAAAAGGACCTAACCAGTGGGATGCCTTGCCTAGGAAACAAGGTGGTGTTTGAGAAAGTTGAGGCCAACTCACGGGTGGTTCCCACAAAGGTTTATACAATGCCTTGTCCTCCACTATCCCCTTGCTCAGGTGCTTTGTTTGAGACAGTCCCTCCTTCTCCCTCCCAGTTTGCTCAGGGTGGCACCCAACAGGGCATGCCTTTGGTCCCTCCCCAGACCACTCTGTCACCCCTCAGTGTCCTCTTTGTCTCGGTACACGGCCTTGTTGGGGAGGACCTCCATCATAATAGACTTTTAAGCCTCATCTGTCACCTCAGGAGAGATGGTTTCCTTTGGATGTGGGGATGCCCTGAGGTCCTCACTTGCCCTATTTTCCCATGATTTGCTATGCTTCCTTCCCCAGTCTACGAACCTGGAGAAAAGACCCCAACATCTCAATCTTTAGGACACGACACTTGGCAGACACATCCCATTCCTGACCCATCTTCTCCCCACAGCTCTTTCTCATAGGGAAACAGCTTGATCAGCTCCACATAATCTAGCTTTTAAACACCAGCTTCACTTTTTGAAAGCAGTTTGTACCTTTTCTGCCCAAAATGGAAACCTTTAAAAGCACCTGACTGGCAGGAGACGGGTGCTCAGCATTTTCTGAAGGAGCTCCTGAAAGTATCTCAGGTGGGAAACCCAAGTCTGGTTTTGGAGGACCAGTTATTCTGAAGGAGGTGAAAAAAAGATTTCTGATACTTCTTGGGGGTATTTCCTGACAGCTTTTGAATATACAATCTCCAGCTGAATTTCTGGTCCAGCGCAAAATTTACAATCTCCAGCTGAATTTCTGGTCTCATCAGCATCCCTGAATCCTTGCACACCCATCCTTCTGGGAACAGGCAACTGCTGGAGAGGGTACAGCAGGGGGCTACAAAGATGATGAGGGGCCTGGAGCATCTCTCTTATGAGGAGAGGCTGAGGGACTTGGGGCTTTTTAGTCTGGAGAAGAGAAGGCTGAGGGGGGATCTGATCAACACCTATAAATATTTAAAGGATGGGTGTCAGGAGGCTGGGACCAGTCTTTTTCCAGTGGTGCCCAGGGACAGGACAAGAGGAAATGGGCACAAACTGGAACATAAGAAGTTCCACCTAAACATGAGGAGGAAATTCTTTACATTGAGGGTGGCAGAGCCCTGGAAGAGGCTGCCCAGAGAGGTGGTGGAGTCTCCTTCTCTGGAGATATTCAAAACCCACCTGGACAAGTTCCTGTGCAACCTGCTCTGGGTGGACCTGCTTTGGCAGGGGGTTGGACTAGATGATCTCCAGAGGTCCCTTCCAACCCCATGTGATTCTGTGAACCCTTCCAGCAAGGCTGCAGATATGCAACAGAGATTGAGTCTGCAGGAAAAGTCCCACCTCTGAGGTTACTGTGTCACTTACCAACCCTGCCCAGGGCTTTGGGCTGTGCTGTTGCCAGTGTGCGTAAAACCCCTTAAAACATGCATCACTTTTAATCAGAAGATTATAAAATCCCCCGTACCTTTCTGTGTGGCCCTGGCGAGCTCGGCTGGAAATCCAGGGCCAGATAATCTACGCTCCCCGAACTCTTTTTAGGCGCTGGGCTGTTGGTGCCACTAGGAACAGGAGAAGCAGAAATGGGGTTTTGCTAATGCAGGGAAGAGACAGGAGAGATAACGAGGATTAAAATGGGAAGAAAGGGGAGGGGAAAAAAAAAAAAAAAAAGAAGAGGAATTAACACAAATCTGGTAACGAAATGCCTCGGTGGCACTTTTAAAAGAGGTCACAAGTAAAGTTTAACAACCCATACATAAAGAATTTTTCTTTTACCTCAAATTTCCCTCTGAATTGAAAGGGGGGGGGAAAAAAAAAAAAAAAAGAAGAGGAATTAACACAAATCTGGTAACGAAATGCCTCGGTGGCACTTTTAAAAGAGGTCACAGCCTCGATAGGTGCTCACCTGCCTCTGGGTGTGCTGAACTGCTGGGGGACTAGAGATATTTGTACACTGTGCTAACAAATATTTCATGCTCATGCTCATTTTATGTCTTGGAGCAGTTCTGCTGCCTTTGTGCTGATTTTATTCACATGCCTGACGTGATACGTGGGCTTTAGCATTTCCCCCCCGAGCCACACCTCAGCGAGGCCAGGCCAGCTCTGGGATTCTTCACTAATCACAGCCACGCCACGCAGAGCACAGATTTCCTCCATCCCCCTGAGTTACACAGCCTCAAAAATATGCTTGGAGTCAGCAGCTTTGCGCAGAGAGACAAAATCCCCTCCCTGTACGGGGTGCCACTCCCTGCTGCTGCTCCGATAGCCCCTGCCCTCCACACAAACATGATGTCAGCAGCTATTAAGGGGAAAAAAAAACCCCCAAAACCCTGAACAAAATCAACTTAAATTAGGAAAATGTACCCTGGAAGTCCATAGATGTTTTTATCCCCTTTTAATTCCTGGCACAGTAGGTGATATATGCTCCTGCTCTCATATACACTTGAAACCCCAATGGAAGGTAGCATTTTAGGGATGAAAGCCATCGTTTTGTGCATGTAGGGATGTACTTAAGGATGTACACCACACGGTGCTGCCTGAGCACTTCCATGTCATGAGCTAGGAATGTCTTTGCAGGGCTGGGGAACATATATATCCTGCCAGAACTGTATATCTTCGCTGTGGGGCCCTTACCATCGCCACGTAGTTCTCCTCGCTGTCTCCTGAGTCAGTGCTGGTGATGCTCTGGGAGGAGACAGGGCGACAGTATTGCAAAGAGCCGGCGTTGAAGCTCTGGCTGTAAGGACAAGGGTCAATGCATTAATTAATTAATGATGGCTGCAGGTGCTGCTCGTCCATGGCCAAGGAGGGATGGGAGCACCTGATGCCTCCAAACATCTCCATGCTCAGACCTGGAGACTGGGCATGAAGAACTGGTGGCACTAAGGTTCTCCAATCTGAGCTTCCCATGGGTCAGAAAACCCTGGGTTGGGTTTTCTCATTTTTTTTAGTTTCTAGGGCTTTTTAATAACACCTTGCTTGCTATGTACCCATAACTCTCCTGCTATCAGCTACATCAATCAGGCTCCATGGACTCTTTTATCTCACAGGAAATATTTGATTGTGGAGGATGCAGGGCCAGCCTCGGTGAAGCTTCTCACCTCCAGCCTCAGCACAGCTCCAGGATTTGTTTACCGTGCAGGGCCCTATCCAAATTTTTTGCTGGAAAACAAAACCTCCGAGGCACCGTCTTGCTTTCCATTGGCCAAATCTAATTATACGGGCTAACATAATGCAATCAGCGTCTGGCATTAAAGCTCACGTCTTAAAAAGCTATTTGTTGCCTTGCAGTAAAGGCAGGGTCATATGATTAGCTGATAAGGGGAAAAATCCATTAGCTTCTCTGAGGTCGGACGTCTTGTCAATCAAACCCCCCTCGCTGTTTCCCGGCGCAGTGATTTCAGCTCATGCCCTGCAGTCAGTCTCCACACACAATCCAATTTATTAGAGGAGCCACAGCAGCCAGGCTGTGCTTCTGCCTTTCATTGGACAACATCCGACCACGAATTAGCAGCAGAACTGGAATTGTGCGAATCCTGTTATTTTTGGCCGGCGGACTTTGCTCTGAAGTGCTCAGGTTTCATTTTGCAGACTTCCCTCGGGCTAGGCTTTGCTTTCAAGGCAATCAAAACAGCCCCTGCGAGTGTCACCCTGTGTTTTGAGACCATAGCAGGGGTTTTTTTGAGGTAGGGGGAGGGATGGATGTGAAATCGTACCCCGCACCCCCAGGGCGGCTGAGTTGGGGTGGCTCAGCTGGATCACGAGTTGTGGTGGACCACAGGTCCCATCTCAGAGCCACAGCTCTCCAGGCGGTGTCAGATCCCAGAAATAGGAAATGTCTTCAAGGGATCTTAATTAGCTGCTCGGCCACACGCTGGGCTTTCATGTGAAATCCTGACTGAAACAGATTTATCATCCTGCCACCGGCTGGGATGTGGGAACGCTGGCTCTTACAGCTCTTGACAGAGCTTGTGAGGGGTCCAAGAGAGGAGCCACTCTACTTCAACACCATCTGGCCCAGGTCCTAAGTGTGGCCCTGTTGTGACCAAGGAAACCCCTGAATCCTGAATTGCCATGGTGTGGCAGGGTACTTTAGGAAAGAATTACTCTATAAATGCCCCTCTTCCCACATAGCACCTGCTGGTCCCTGATGGGGGTAGGATGCTGGGCAAGGTGGGCTTTCAGCCCAGCACAGATGTTTGCATGGCAAGACCAAGCCCTGCAGCTCCTGTTTCTAAAACCGACAAAGAACACGAGAGCTGAAGGGATCATCCAGATTTTGGGGAAATTTGGCTCTACATCCAAAGCCTGGGCTCCTTTCTAGCTTGATTCAAGATGGCCCGTGAGAAACATGCCCCTTGAACAAAAAGAGATGGTGGGCCAGAAGAAACAAGTGGAGGCAGAATGTCCCCCTTACACTCAGCCAGAGATGTTTAATCCAGGCCAGAGATGACAGTGTGGCTACATGTGGACACTGGTGATGATGGGACCAGAGATCTGCTATTGGAACAAAGCAAGAATTCATACCCCAACCATTACTCACGTTGGCCTGGACCAGGATTTCGTGACGGGCGATTTGAAGGGAAGCTCATCGATGACAGTGTTGTTCCTCAGGTCCAGCGGTGATGGCTTTGCTGGGGAGAGGAAAAGCCTTTTTTCAGAGGCAGCACGTTCCTACAATTCAGCATCCATAAATGGCATGCGAGGGTCCCCAGCAAACTGTTGGTTGCTCCCCATTCTGTTAATCAGCCCCCCAGCCCTCCTTCTGATAAAAAATACCCCCAACCAAAATCCTTGCACTCATTTATGCCAGGCCTAGGGGAAAACAGTGAATTTCTCCCCCTGACCCACAGCACTAAAGTGCAATGTGCCTACCAGGGAATGGAGATCTGATAAAAATGCCCAAACTCTTCAGTATAATAAGTACATTCGTTAGGGAGCTGTGATAACCCATAAGATGGGACAAGACCAGGCTCTGCCAGCCCTGAGGTGCCTCCCTCCAGAGCATTTTCCCATAGGGAAAGGGAAAGGACATCTGCAGGGTAACATGAAAGCCCTTCTCATCATGAGTGGTTCATTAGGTGGAAGAGAAGACCACTGCGCTCCAGACCCAGCCCTCGCCTAGCATGCTGTTGCCATTAGGTGCTGACATCCTAATGATGGAATGCCTCCACCTTGGCATCTCCTTGGTGACCAGTTGGGCAATGGTTTGGGGAGGGATTTGGAGGTTGTAGGCAAAGCCCCGAGGGAAGAGCTGACTAGGTCCAGCCAGTAGGAGACAGTAGGAGAAATTTGGGTCATCTGAATCCCACACAGAGATTTTGGGGTAGAGCGTGGGAAGATGCATGCTGCCCAGGAATAGGCTGCCCAGGGAGGTGGTTGGGTCACTATCCCTGGATGTGTTTAAGGGACGTTTAGATGTGGTACTGAGGGATATGGTGTAGGGGAGGACTTTGTAGAGTAGGGTAGATGGTTGGACTCGATGATCCCAAGGGTCTCTTCCAACCTGGATGATTCTATGATTCTATGATTCTATGCAGGCGAAGGGGGTGAGATCTTGCCTGTGACATGCATCTCCTGTAAAGGCCAGGAAGGGTTTGAGATAGGCTGTTTAAGTGCCACAAATGCTGCATTTGCACAATAGTCCTCCTCAAAGAGGAAGGGTTAGGGAAGATCTAAAGGTCTGAATGTCCTGGCCTACATAGGAGTCTACTGAGTGTGCACAAGATGACAGATGTAATCCAAAGTATTACAAGAACAGAAAGGTTCCTTGGAAGATTTGCCCACAAACAAGCGTTCTTACCTTTCCGGTCGGGTTTGAGGTTGCGGTTGACTGGTGGGGGCTGGATTTCACTCAACCGTCTGTGGCACTGTGCCATGGCTCCTCCTTTATGCACAGGGAGGGTGGCCGAGGACAACCCCACCAGGTCAAAGTGATGTGGCCCAGGGCTCATGGGGATGTAGAGATTTTGGGCATTGTCGTTGGCTTTCTCAGTGTGGATCAGGGGTGAGGAACCGGGGTTCATGGGGACGTAGTTGTCCTCGGAGTCAGTGCTGTGGGAGCGGGCCACCACTGCCTTGGCTTGCTGGGGGACAAATAGGAGGACGTGCTGTGAGCATCAGACACTGCTCAACCCCATCCCACTATAAATCCCTTCATCTCATCTCCAAACACACACCTTAGGTGGGACCAGCTCTAAATCTCAGCAGAGAGGGAAGGGGTGGTCTGTCCCCTCCTTGGCCATCAGTTTGCACTGAGAGGGTCTACCTCCACTGTTTCCAAGACACTGCGACATCCTGAGTTCAGGGAAAGGTCTTAATCACCCACACTAGAGCTTCTTCTCATGATCAGAGTGAGCTGCAGAAGCATGTTTAACCTGGAAAGTCATTTTTCCCTGGGCTCTGGCCATGACTAAAATGCAATATGAAAGGATGCTTTAATGTTATTTCCAGCTCAGGAAGTCTTAGAAAGTGCACAAAAGGGGCTCTTCTGGCAACATGTCAAAATTCAGCTCAGCAGCATCCCAGGTTTTCATGAAGTTGCCAAACTCCTGGGTGCTTTTTTGGGTTCAAAGCTCCAGGCAGATACACTCTGTGGAAGCACCCAAAGCACAGCTTTCCATGAGGTGCTGGGTTAAGCGGTTGTCCCTCCACCTCTACCCTGCAGGCCACCATGAACTGAAATCAGTATTAAAACCCTTCTTGACTTAGCTCTGCAGGGCTGGGATGCGAGGTCCCACCTCCAACCGTCTTGTCTCTGAATCTATAAGGATCAAATAGTACCTATAGTGTGGTGGCTGATACTGAGGCCAACTCACCAGGTAGGAGTTGTACCCGTCGTTCATCGACTCGACTGACTGCACAGCGCTGCTGCCCCCGTGCTGGGGGTACTCGTACGTCTCACAAGAAGAAGCTGCAAGACAACCACAAATGCACAACGTGTCCCAGCACAACTACAAATAACAGGGGCCCCTGAAAACAAAATCCAGGTACCGGGAGGGAGGTATCTATTCTTGATGATTCACATGTTGGTGGAAGACGTGGTTTTTATCCCGTCACGGGCTCCCTGCCATGTTCCCTCCCAATTAACATCCCTCTGATGCGTCAACGCAACTGCACGTGCCACACGGACCTAACCTGGTTCTGTCAAAGTGCAGCAAAATCCCAGGGGTAAAGACGTCAGATAAGGTAGATCACGGTGACAAAACTGGGTTAAGGGAGAGCTCCGTTACAGCTCGCTCAGCAGATGTAAGGGCTGGCTGTCTCCAGCAAGGGGAGGATGGGGTGAGGATGGGGTGCTAAACTCCCAGACTGGTCTGTCTACTGCTGAGCATGGGTCTGATCTCAGCCTAAATAGTGGTTTTTAGGTAGGAGGAGATGGAAGAGGCATTTCAGGGAGCTGTGTGCGTCGTTTACAGTATGTTTTCTCTCCAACCACCTCTTCTAATTTACTTTGCAAATATCTTGTCCCAGGCACAATGGTTGGAAAGGGCGTGTTCACCAAGGGCCCATCCATGGCCAATGGGAAGGGTGGTTCTGATGCACTGGAGACATTGGTTCTTGCAGATGTACAAGATTACGTCCCTGTCTGATGAGCAAAACCAAGGCAGCTCCAGTCTGAAGTATGTTCTGATAAATCTGGTTATGAATTGAAGCTAAAAATGCATGAAATCACCAAAATCTAGTTAAGAGCTGCATGGACAAGCAGTTTTGGGGTTTTGATTCAAGCAGAGCCTTGGGGATGCCTCTCTCTGCCTGTTGCATACAAAAACCAGGGCCAGATCCTGACTGTGGAGAGCCTCTTTGTGTTCAACCCCCTGGTAGATGCCAACAGCCACCCCAGTCCTACCACAACCCAGTGGGACTGACCTGTCCAAGGCTGCTAGACAGGACAAAACCACCCCCAGCTCCCAAACCCCAAATTCACCTCGGTGCAGCCTGCTGTTCTCCACTGCTGGCAGCGTGTTTCTCCGGGGAATGGTGGCTGGCATAGGGGCCAGCCCTAAGCTTTCACTGGGCTGGAGCCGTTGGGGTGGGCTACCCCACCGTGGCTCTGTTTGCCCGGGTTTCGGGGGCCGCGGGGGTGGTGCGGCGGGCGAGTCGCTGGCGGCCACCGCCAGAGCGTTGTGGTTCTTGTCCAGTGTAAATGTCCTGGGGATCTGGTAGATGGAGAGCGGGGTGGCAGGGATGTCATAGGAGTCCGTGGAGAGCTCTCCAAACTCCTTGCATAGGGTGTTGTTGGGAGTCTTGTAGGTGTAGACCTCCTCGTTATCCGTTTCGGAGCTGGTGAGGCTCGACTTGGGGTGGGTGTAGGAACCGAAGGAGCGCGGGAGGTCGTACGCACTGTCCCTGAACTCCGAGTTGTGCCTGCTGGGTTTTGGCAGGCTGTAAAAGCCGTGGAGCTGCCCGCTGACCCCATTCACGCAGTGCCCGTTGCCCTGCGAGAGCTTCTGGACCGCCGTGTCGCTCCTCATGAAGAAGGCGGACCTCGTGGCTTGGGAAAAGCTGGCACTCCTGGAGACGAAGGGAAGAAAGGGGCTGAGATGGGGGGGTGAGTTGGTCCTGGGGTGCACAGAGCTCTGCTCCCCCTGTTTGACACCTTCCCGACCCACACTGCCCAACCCCAGGGTGATGAGAACATCTCAGACCCATCTAAACATGCCCACAGCCCATTTTATGCTGAAACACCTTCAAAATGCCTCTGTCATGGGTGGGAAGTATGTGCACCCAGCTCCACGATAGGGCTATGGGCACGAACAAGCCTTTTATGCAGACATAAATTGCTCCAAAAGGCCAATTTTTGCACCAGTTGATAATGCAACAAGACATGGCTGCAAAGAGCCACCTTCAGCATCGCCACCATGGATTGGCTGCTCGTCTGTGGTGCAGGACAAAGACTTCCTCTCACTTCTGCGTTGCGAAGGTGTTGGAGAGGGACTGGAAAAATTCCCGATGGGAATTATTTCAAAGGCATTCCACCACCCTGCAAGCCCTGGGGAGGTGAGGACACTTCCCAGCTGGGATTTGGTGTTTGCAGCCCTGATCCACCGTGGAGGAGAAGTGAACCTTGGGGCTGAATTCAGATTTATAAAAGCCCTTGAGTTCCCCAGGGTGAGCAGGACAGAGTGGTCACTAGGTCTGTGCCTTGCTAACGATTCCTTGATTTGTATTGCGGTTAGTATTCCCAGGGATATGGAATACTCCAGAAGCCAAACACCAGGGACACTTCAGTCCTCTAATGACCGCTCGTTAGCCACTGCTCCACCACCAATTCCCTCCAAGGTGTTTCATCTCCTGTTTTATCCCTCCTACTGCTCCCTCTTTCAATGCTCTAGCCTTGCAGAAGATGATGAGCCTGGCCTTATCCACCCATAACCCCAGCAGATGACACTTTCTCAAGTTAAGGGATGCTTGAATTGGCCACTTGGGACTTTTCTCTCCCCCGCCATCAACCTCTGCCACCAACACAGCTCCACATCCCACAAGACCTGGGGAAATGCGAGCATGTCTGCAAGAGCACTGGGACATGAGGGCAAGATGTGGCAGAGCTGAGCATGGGTGACAACGATACCTTCCCTGAGCTGGCTGAAGCAGCGTGGAAGAAGAAAACATGGCAAAGTTCCTAAGAAGGGTCACCTTCCCATGAAGAGTTAGTGCATATGCACCAGGAGAGGGTGGCAGGTAGCCTTGGGCTTGGTCTTTTTGCTCAAAGAGTTTTAACCACCAGTGGGTCATGCTTTGGGGGACCAAATGCTCACAGCCCAGAAAGGGCTCAGGCAGCCCCATTTAAACATCTCCCCGTGGAAGAGGGTCCTGCCCTGTATCAACCACCACGCTGGGAAGAAGTGAAGTGGTTATTGGGAGCGGTTTCCAGTTGCATCAAATCACTGGGGAAGTGCCAGGCCTACAGGAAAAGCTGGGAGATGCTGGTTTATGTGGCTCAGGTGGGGTTGATGCTCTGCAGGGACAACAGGGACTCCGTTTCATGGAGCCAGCACGAGATGGCGCTCAGAAATAGGGCTTATTTGGGGAAAAAAAAACCCAAGTGGTGCTGCGATATGAGACATGAACCCTTGCCACCTCTGGAGCTCAGTCCCCCCGAGAGACCTTTGTGCTCTGGCAGGGTCATTTCGACCGAGGACTTGAAGCATCTCATGGGTTAATTAACCAGCATCGCCCTCCAATTAGCTACTATTACCCTCATTTTATGGATGAGTAAAGGAAGAGCTCAGGAGCTGAAAGGAGAGGGATTCCCAGCAGTCCCGCAGTCTGGCCCCACACACAGGCCATCGATCGGGGCCATTATTTCTGGCCCAGTTGCAGAAGCTGCCTCTGGCCAGTTTGTCCCAGCCCAGCATCATCAATGCTTGCTCCCTCCTCCTCCTCAGTGTCCCAGCTGCCGTCGGGTGGCTTTTAGGTAACCTTCCAGCTGCAGCGTCACAGGGCCTTTTTTTTTTTAAACACTGTTCCATTAACTCCATCTGAAGTTAATTTTTCTGAGCCATTTTTTTTCTGTTGTTGTTTTTGGGGTAGGGAAAGGCAGCTGCAGCAGGAAAGCCCAGCGGAGGCTGCAGCCCAGGCTCTGCTCTCACCTCAGGCCAGCTGGGCTCCAACCTCCTCTCCTTCCCTCCTTCCCTCTTCACTGCTCTTCGCCAGCCAAAACTCTTCACGCCAAAAAGACTCCTCGCTATTTAAGGCAACCGGCTGGGTCTGGAGGCGGAGAGCTGCTGCTCGCTCAGAAATACCACCCCATGCACCACAGGCTGCTGCGAAGCCCAGCAAGCTCTGGGCCACAGCAGGGATGAATGGTGGCAAACCTTGCCCATCCCTCTGGTTGTGTTTTTTTTTTCTTCTCCAAGGCAGGAATTAGGGCCCCGTCTGCAGGATCAGGGAGTGGTTGAGGTTGGAAGGGACTTCTGGAGATCATCTGGTCCAACAACCCTGCTTCAAGCAGGGTCGCCCAGAGTTGATTGCCCAGGGCCGTGCTCAGTTTGAATATCTCCAAGGATGGAGACTCCACAACATCCCTGGACATCTCCAAGGATGGACACTCCACACCTCCCTGTGCAATCTCCCTCTTCCTCGGTCCCCCTCTCATTGACAAAGTGTTTCCTCATGGAACCTGTGTTTCAGGTTGTGCCCATTGCTTCTGGTCCTGGAACTGGGCACCACTGACAAGAGCCTGGCTCTGTCTGCTTTGTACCCTCCCTTCAGGTATTTATACACATTGATGAGATCCCTCTGAGCCTTCTCTTCTTGAGGCTGAACAATCCCAGATCCCTCACCCTTTCCTCTCAGGAGAGGTGCTTCAGTCCCCTCAGCATCTTCGTGACCCCTTCCTGCTCTCTATCCCCAGTGTGTCCATGTCCCTCTTCTACAGGGGAGCCCAGCACTGGATCCAATACTCCACATGTGGTCTCACCAGTGCTGAGTAAAGGGGAAGGATCACCTCCTCAACCTGCTGGCAATACAGGTCTAATGCAGCCCTGGATACCATTTGCCTTCTTGGCTGCAAGGACCTATTGCTGGCTCACGTTCAACTTGGTGTCCACCAGGACTCCCAGGTCATTTTCTGCCAAGCTGCTTTCCATCTGGGTGGCCACCAGTATATATTGACGCTTGGGGTTGTTCCTCCCCAGGTGCAGGACTTTTACATTTCTCCTTGTTGAATTTCACGAGGTTCCTGCTGGCTCATTTCTCCAGCCTGTTGAGATCGCTCTGGTGAACCAGCATGACCCCCTGGTATATCAGTCACCACTCCTAGCTTGGTGTTATCAGCAAGCTGGTTGAGGGTACACTATGCCCCATCATCTAGATCATTAATAAAGATGTTAAACAGGACTGGATCCAGTATTGACACCATACTAGTGACTGGCCTCCAACTAGACTTTGCGCCACTGACGACCACCATTCAGCCACTTTTTAATCCAACCCAGAAAGCCAGGAAAGCTGAGAGCTCAGGAGGTTGCCACTCATCCCTCCTCCTCCCTCCTGTGATGAGATGAGACCATCACTCAGGGCTTCCAGCTGGGTTTTACGTATCTCCAAGGATGGAGGTGGGTTGAGCCGCTCACCCCCAGCCCTCCCTTGGTTATCCCCAAGGTTTGCTCCCAGGCGGGCTACAATACCTTGCGTTTTCTGACTTTCTGCTCATACACTGGTGGAGGAAAAGGTAGTCCTGGGGGGCACTGGCAGACAGGGTGCTCTGGAGGTGGCTGGCGGGCGAGTCGAAGGTGAAGAGGGTGGGCTGGCTGGAGTGGGATGGCGCTGAGGACTTGCGCTCTCGCAGCAGGTGGTGGCTGGCACCGCTGAGCTCTGCCGGGGAGGACCGCGGCGCGTGGTTCATGGAGGCGAGGGTCCTCAGGGTATCTGTGGAGGGGAAAAAACACACCTGGTGAGAGGCCGGACGCGGGGACTCCACAGCCTGTGTTCCTGGGATTTTCCTTACTTAAATGCTCCGGCGTTTATGGAGGATGGTGTGGTTTGCTTATGGCTCTGAATGATGCTCTCAGCAACAGGCTCCTCTCCTTCGGAGCACATGCAACTATAGGTACCATACAGGGAATTAAATATTCTATCGTATTTCATAATTTTATCTTATTTTATCATTTTATCATATTTTATGCTTAGCGGCTTGCAGGGACATCGGGGGGATGGCAGCCCAATTCACAGGGAGCTCAGTGGGTTGTTAAAACCTAATTAAAAAGGAAAAGGAAGGAAAGAGCTTTCACACCACAATTTCTGCTTCTCGCTTTTCATTGAGACCTTTGGTAGGTGGCATTAGAGATATGATTTAAGTCATCCCCATCCCTCTGCGTAAGGTATCGCAGCCATCCCTTTACAGCAGGGTAAACTGCAGTGGAAATATGGATGGACTTAATGACAGCAGAGAAGACAAATATACCCACTTTGCCCAATTCTCTATTAATTATGTGACCTCAAAAGAGTTCCTGCTGTTTTTTGCTAGTAAAATAGGATGCAGACCCAAAGTGTGACTCCCCTCCCCATTGCTCATGGAGAAATGAACTTTAAAATACGAAATTAGTTTAAAACAAGAATATCCCAGAGATCAGGAACAACCCAGCAACCCTCTGATAAATGTGCTCCAAGAATTTGAACCTCGAGTGAATTTTTACAGCCAAGCTGTAAACCCCTATTGAAAAAAAACAACACTAAAACCCCAGAAAACCTGCAAGCTGCAGAATATTTTGGGAAAGCTGATCCATCTCTGGCTGCAGAAGACCACGTAGAAGACCACGCGTGATCTCCCTGCCATGCATGCACCCCTGGTGTGTGAAAACCACTCATGGTGGTTCACTGAAGTCACCCTTTAGAATAGCTGTGTTTTACATTTATTTGGTGCTGATGCAAAACACAGAAAAAATCGAAACCCTAACAAAGAGAATACCTTTCCCTGAGTAAATCCGCCTGTTTTTTGGCCAATGCTGATTTAGGATCCCCAACACAATGTCCATCTGCTCCTCAAATTGGACTTCAGACACCCAAATTAGACTTCAGACACCCAAATTAGACTTCAGAACCTGCTCTGATATGTGGACTAAGGGGATTTTAGAGATTTCCAACCTCTTTTTTCCATTCCTTCCCTCAAATGCCAGACCTTAGCAGAAATTTTGGGCCACACCTTCTTACGCCGCAGAGAAATGAGTTCTCTGCAAAATGGCTGTCATGGCTTGGACAAGGAGATGCTCCACACGGGGTGATTTTTCACTGACTTCTGAATTGTGTCAAGATACAAAATCGATCTGTCTGCCGCTCGTTCACCGCTACTACATTTTTTTTCCTGGCGTTACTGCAAACTTCACCCGATGCAGAAAAAGTACATTAATAAAAGCCAGAGAGCGTGTCTCGACTCTGTTGTTTGGTTTGTGCTAAACACAGAAAGGATCAATATTTAACATTGACATTAATGGTGGGGGATGAGAGCTTAAAACTCTGATTCCTGTCTTCTTTGCATGGGCATTAAATATCCCTTGGTGCTTTTCATGGGAGTAAATGGTTGTCTCGGTGTCCTTGGACAAAACACTGCCTTGACCCTCAACCTTATTAAATATTTATCCCATAGCAATGCAGACTGATCCCCACTGGAAAAGGAGTCTTGAGAGCTCTGTGAGTCCCAAATCAAGTGCTTTGAGCTCAACCAGCGTGGTAGAGCCCATACCCATGTTGGTATCAAAACCAGGGGGGCTGTACCTAAAGTGCCTCTCAGGAACAGCCCCCTGGTCTTGCTACTCCTGCATCATGGCCAGGAATCGCCCATGATGTTGGGCTTTGGCCAAAACTCTTCCAAGGATGGTGTGAGGATGGCATGTTAGTTGTGTTCCCATCCCAGCACAAAGGTCACCTCTGGGGACAAGCGTAAGCTGCACTGGGTTGGGGTCCCTCTGCTCTGAGGAGTCCTCCAACACTATCCCTGCAGGCTCTACACTTAACTATTGCATGGAAAAACCACGGCAGACCAAAATTACACCAATTTATCTGTGCCAACACAGCCAAAGGGGAGAGCTGGGGCAACACAGAGGAGACAGTCCCCAGCATCACAGCAAGTTCAAATCACAACACTTTGAGGAGCCCAGTGAATCCTGCGCTGCCAGGAGACTCTGATCCTTTCCCAAAAATCAGTCTGACTCGGGGAAACGGGAGAGGGCAGCGCAGAAAATCACACTTATTGAAAGAAGGATGAATTACCCTGTGGTCACTCTGACCACAAAAAAGAAAAGGGGGGGATGGAGGGGAGCAGGAGGCAACGCCTGGTAAAAAGCACGCCGCTTCCCCGGGGGAAGCCGCTCTATCGACGGCCGCATTGATTTTCAAAAATGAATTCCCAGCTCGCTTCCCGCAGCGACCCGGCCACCGAGAGCATTAGTGGGAGCCAATTCAGGGCTCACGCACTCCATTAGGTCTGTGAGATGAACTCCGTAATAGCAGGTGAGAGATGGATTGCTTGGTGGGGCTGGGAGGGTATTGAAAGGGCTGGGGAGATAAATTCTGCAGCTGCAGAAGGGGACTGGCCAAGATTGCTCGGTATTTTTGAGGTTGTGGGGGCTTTTTTTTGCACTAGGAAAAAGGGCAGCTCATGAGCTCAGGTCACACGCTGACGATGGGTCCTGCTGGGGGGGCAGAAAAGGAGGCAAGAAAGGAATTGAGGCAGAAAAATAGTATTTGATGACTAGTACATGCTGAAGGGAAAAGTCAAGACATTTTTGCTCTCACCTTGACCTGAAATGGAGAAAGGCCCCATGAGGGTAAGGCATACAGAGTGAATTACAAGCCAGAGGTCCTAAAGCTATTTCAACTTGCCACGCTGCAGTGCCCAGCTCCCAGGCCGTGAGGACCAACACTCCTTTCCTGTGTCCATGCAGGGGACTTAGTGAATAACCTCCAGGGGGTCCCATCCAGAGACCTCCAGACATTGATTCCACCCACATCATGACCCAAGATGCTCAACTCACTCCACCCATGAGCCAAAAAGATTACCCCTTCTCCATTCCTGATGGTCATCCGCCTCGGGGCCACGGATAAACCCATGGCTCTCCTTAATTTAACAGCATAGACGTAACCTTCAAATCCCTTGGCTTTATGCTGAGATATTGAGTTTATATTGAGGGAATGTATCAAATACAGCCAAGGAGGGATAAGATCCTGTTCCAGTTCCTATTGCCATTCCCGGGGGGGGCAGAGTTAAGGTTATGTAGTGGGGCCATGTGGGAAGTATCATCTTAACCCCACGTTTCCTGGCTGGTTCTCCTTCGAGTTCGGGGAATTGGACTCTCACGGTCTAGAAAAGGCGGTGTTGGACGCCCACAACTTAAAAATTCAACCTAAAAATTCAATGTCAGCAGCATGCCTTGCATGCATACGTCTTGCTGGGCTTGTGCTACAGCTGTTGTGCTGGTCCCCACGAGAAAGCAAGCCAGATGCTCTCTGGGGATGAGCCAGCACAGCCCTGCAGAACCCCACGGTGCCGGGCAGGCTTTGTCAGTTGAAGGCTCGTCACTCACTAGTCCAGGTTAAGATGTGCCTTTTTGGCCATGTGTTGCAGCAAAGAGGGGGAAAAATCTCTTTGAGACTCCATCCCCGAAGCAAAAATACGCCACTGCGAGTACGGCCGGCAACAGGATGGACTAGGCTGGGAGCCAGGAATTTTTTATGAATGTTTTCAATCCCCCAACGTGGTATTTCCCTCCTTGCTGACAGCTCTGAATTCCCTTGCTCAGAGCGCTCGCTTATTGCTGTGTGTACGGAGCTTTGCACAATGTTCCTGGGCTTATCAGAGTGAAATAATTACTCAGCCTCCTTTGGAAATTGTTGCTCATAACGGACTTTTTCACCGGATCCATGATGTCAGCTTTCCCCGCCTGAAGTCAGAGGCTGGGACTACAACTCCCTGTATCCCACGGATTTGAAATGATGCCCCTGGGAAGGTGGTGATTTTTGGGTGTCGCTAAATCCCTGCGCTCCTGTCGATGGTCACAGCAAAGGTGACAGGTTTTCTCAGAATCCCTGAGTGGCACAAAATTCCCTGTGATGCCCACACTGTGCTGGCAAGGGTGAGATGGTCTGAGGGGCCTCGCAGATAAGGGCTCCTCAGATCTGCCCTGGTAAATAAGGCCACAAACACTGCTTACTTCATGCCAGTTAAAAATATGTCTGATGAGATTATTTTTTTTAAGGAGGGAATAATAGGAACGTACTAGAAATAATCCCTAGGATTGAGTTGGGCAGAGTGGGCTCATGTGCTATCATCTTCCCCTCTCTTTGGAGCAGCTCCATCATTTTTCAGCAAAAAAGTGGGGGAACCTTCTCCCATGGGAATCTGCCTGCACCTCTGCTTTCACTGCCAGCTCGAGCACTAATAGAAAAAAAATAATTTAAAAAAAAGACAAACAACCCTACCAAAACAAGCCCTCCACGTGCTTCTTCTGGCAGGGAGGGAACAAAGAACAAGTCCGATGGATGAGTCACCACACCATCGTGCTGCCAGGAGGCCCTGGGATGCCGTGAGGATGAGTATGGCACCCGAGGAAGGTTTATTTACTGAGCTTTCCCTATCGCCTCCGAGTTGGACGGCATTTGGAAAAGCTGTTGTCAGTCTGAGGACGCCTTAGCAGGTCACCTGCTAAAGGTTTCCTCTGGCAGGTTAGTTGGAAAAAGCATATGATTTGGATAATTTCCCCTCTCCGGTTTCTGTAAGGACAGGGAGATGTGTGCAAGGACACAGGTACCCTAATATTCGGTGTTGCCCAAATTTTCAGTGCCAAGCAGGAGGAGTGGAGCTCCCCTAAATTGAGGAAGGGGCAAGGTAGGACCCATCACAGCTGCATCCTCCACTGCAGAGGAGCTGAAGGATG